TAAGTGCTGAACCAGTAAGAGGTCTGAACCATTAAGAGCTAGTATATTGCTTAACTATTCAGAGGCAAATGTCTGATCAATTCAGATAAAAGGTCTTAACCATTCAGACTCTGTATAATACTTAACCATTCAGAGGCAAATCTCTTAACCATTCAGACATCTGAACCATTAAGAGGCTGAAACAAACAGTCTGAACCATTAAGTGCTGAACCATTCAGACATCTGAACCATTAAGAGGCTGAAACAAACAGCCCCTAAGTTGTCTAACTTATAACTTCCCCTTCTCCAAAGAAATTGGGTGGTGATAGTTACATCCGTTAAAATATTAAATTCACTCGTTAACTAAATTACACTCATAATACATTATTATGTTATTATTCAAAAAAAGTTATAAAACTTTATTATGTTAAGGAATACTCCGTATTATAAATAAATGTTTAAAATTATCCATCATTTATTTCATTTTATTCTTTCCAAATAAAATAATATATAAATTTTAGTTTTAATTTTAATTTTAAAACTATGGCGCATCTTCTTTTAGTTTTTTTATAAATTAAAATAACTTTTATTGTTAATACATTGAATTACCATTGATTTTGTATAAAAGGTTTTACTTTCTAAGTATTATATTTATATACATTTCACCATTTTTTAATCTACATAATTATTTTATCATTTTAAATAGATGGTTATATAAATTTCACTTAAAGAAATTTTATACGGAGTATAATCTTTAAAATTTTTCACCATTATTCTCTTTTATTTATTTTCAAGCACAAAAATCTATATAAATATTAATAAATGTGAATTATTATTAAAAATACAGCTTTTATTTTAAAAAGATATCATATTTAATAATTAAAATATACTCCGTTTTCAGTAGAATAAAAATTATTATATTAAACGATTATTGTATCATGATTCAAACTAGAATTTTTATCAAATCTTAAAATTGTAAAATGTTCTATATGAGTTCATGGATTAAAAATACTCTCTCCGTCCTATATCTTTCTTCCCGGTTCGCAAAACGAAGAAAAATTCCAAGTTTTTTCAATCTATTTTATTTAAGTATTGGTATAGAAATAAAAAATAAAATATACATATTTAAAAACTACATCAAAAATTCAACAAAACAAGTGGTGACAAGAATATTTTATTTTATCATATAGGCCATGAAAAAACACAAATAAATATAAATTTCCATGAAGTTGGAATAGTGCTCTGGGAAAAAAGTTTTAGGACGGAGGGAGTAATTTGTTTTGAATAAGTTAAAAAATCTGAATGGTTCAGCACTTAATGGTTCAGACTGTTTGTTTCAGCCTCTTAATGATTCAGATGTCTGAATGGCTCAGACATTTGCCTCTGAATGTTTAAGTATTATACAGAGTCTGAATGGTTAAGACCTCTTATCTGAATTGACCAGACATTTGCCTCTGAATAGTTAAGCAATATACTAGCTCTTAATGGTTCAGACCTCTTACTGGTTCAGCACTTAATGGTTCAGACCTCTTACTGATTCAGCACTTACCTATTCAGAAGTTGTCAAACAGCCCCTTACTCTTTGGGTGGAGTGTGACTATCAGCACCCAACAAAATTTTACCCTTTGATTTTCTATGAAATTTAAGAAAAATGTTTCTAAAATAAAAATGTATGATTCAAATTTATTTAGATGATAGAAAAAATTGTGCATCATAAATCTATTGCTAAAATAGAAAACAAAGTGGGTACATTTTTAGGTCTTAAAAAGGAAAGGATAATACTCTCTCTGTTCCAATTTATTTGTTCTGGTTCGACTATTATGCAAACTTTTAATCATAAATTCTTTGTTTCTAAAAGATTATCGCAGTTTGACTTTTTGGTCAAATTATGACACCCTTTGATCAAGAATTAAATATAGTTTAAAACATTTAAATATTATAAAAATTTGATATTTCTAAACTATATTTTAAAATAAACTGAATCTTACCAAATTTATGTTATAAATAAATATATTTTTTTTCAATTTTTTGGTCAAAAGATGACATAATTTGACAAAAAAAGTCAAACTGTGGCAATCTTTTATAGACAAAGAGACTTTTAACTACGGAGTATAATGTAAATTTACATGTCATATTTTGTTTTTTTATACTCCGTATTTTTAAAGGTAAATTTGTACATTTGTAACAAATAGGATAGGTTTAGACAAAATGTAAGTGAATTTAGAAACATCCGAATAAGATAGACCAATCATTTTTTATTTTATATAACTCTAATATAATGTGTAACTAATTAAAATACTCCGTATAAATTTTACTTTTTAACTGTATAATTTCTACAAATAATATTAGGGCATAAATAGTTACTGATCCGAATTTGGTGAATGTGCTGCAGGGTTGGGCAAAGGTGTTGAAAGCAGCGGCGAAACATTTCAAGAAAAGCAAGAAGAAACCTCAAATAAAGTGACTTTTCCTCGTATTTGTATTTTACCAATATGACATTTTGTGCATTTCGTAATTCGTATTGGTGCTTTTCAAGCTTGATTAATTTTGGATTAATGAAAAATGACAAATGCCCAATAGAGAAATGACTATTGTATATCCGGGAACAAATAAACAAAAAATTTTGTAATTTTTGAAAAGTAAAGTGTGTAAACCATTTATTGACGAAGAGAGTATTATGATTATATGGTGACATTATAAATTCAAATTTATAATATAACACCTCAAATTTGGACAAAGACGACTGCCTTTTTTATATCCAAAATTAGTTTTTAAAAATATTTATGTGGGTAATTATTTAATTGAGTAATTTTTAATACTTTATTTTTCTAACATTTTGTAACTTCATCTAGTTTTTTTTCAACTTCATCTAGTTTTTTAAATTCATATTAGTTTCTTCCAACTTATTTGAGTATTTCCGAAATCTAATTGTAGAATTTCAATCGAGAAGAACAGAGTCTACCATACGGATGGATATTGGGCCTGATGAGTAAATTAATGATGTTTGATTGAAATTATTTTAAAATAAAATTATATGAAAAATTGGGATAAAATTTATATATTTTAAAGTTATGCCAAAAATTTTACAAAATAAGGAGTGACATAACTATGTTACTTTATCAAATGAGTAAAGAATGTAATTAAAGCTAATCATGTAAATAGTAAATATTTAACATAAATTGGGATATAAAAAATACAATATTCTTGAGATATGATGGTGGATATATGAGTTTAGTGGTCCATTTGCCAAGATTGGCTGATGTAATCTCATTTCTCTTAATCAAGTTGTTTTCCACAATGTGTGATATGAAATAATCCAGAACCTTTGTATAGATAAACTTTCCCAGATCAAGTATAGTTATTGTTATGATGATTTTTCCAGCAAATTAAAACTCATCATTTAGTACAAAAATAATTAAAATGAGCCATGACTGGTCGTAAAACGAGAAATAATTTTCAAAAGACTCTTGCACTAAGATCCCTCAGTAGAGATTCGACCTTCAAATGAAAGAAAAGACATGACCATTCAACCTACGAAGTTGAATACAACAATGAATAACATCGTCACATTACTATCCGCTATGGTGGGGAGAATGGACAAAATGGTCACGAGACCGTCATTTTCAATCGTTGTGGTGGATCTTAATGCCTTTCGATAGAAGCTTAGCCTACTCATCCAAACAATAATACGGTGCTCAAATATTGTAATAGCATCTCATCTAATATCATTCTTTTTCTGTATCAAATATTTTTCGATACAAATATTAGGGTAGTCAAATATTCAATACGGAAAATAAAACATACAGTAAAATAAAAATAGAAAAAGTAATGTTTTTAAATGATTTTGGTCTTATTTGATACAGAAAAAAATGCTATTACACTATCTTGGTTATTTTTATTTGTATGTTTTCGTTAAATATTTGATGATTGATATATAAAGTTGTCAACCATATTTTAGCTATGTAATTTTTTATTTTTTTACCAATTTTTAAAATAAATCATTTAATAAATTACTCCATTCATCATAAAACTATCTTCTCAGTTACTATTCACATGGTCAAACTTAAATCACTATCTTTACCTATTTTCGTTAGTTATTTGACAAAATAATATAGTCTTGTCACATCTTGTTTTTTAGAACTTTTGATGTAGTTTTTAAATATATAAATTTTATTTTTTTAATTTTATGCCTACAATCAAATAAATTGAATTGAAATAAAGTTGATCAAACCTCTTAAACATAAATGGGAAGATAGTTTTAAGAGGGAGGGAGTATAATTTATTTTGGAGAGAATTATTTGGCAATTGACATAGAGGAATTTACCTAAATAGCACTAAAACATACGGAGTAATGACTTTTTCTAAATAGCATTACATGTGTTTTTTTCCCAATGTAGCTCATTATCTATTAATCATCATTCTAGTAAATTTCCGCCATTACTAATTATTATGATATTATTAAATACTATTTAAGGAATAAAACAATTTAAGTGGTATTTAGAAAATGATTAAGGCCATGTTTGGAAAACAGCATTTCGGATAGCTTTTGGCATCTTTGACTGACTTTGGCTTTTTTGACCAAGCGAACCGCCAAAACCATTGTTTGGCTAATAGCTTTTTCACTTGGCATTTTGATCTGAAAAGCCAAAATGTGAAATGCCAAGGGGAGTAGCATTTGGACTTGGCGGTTAGGAAATTTTTTTTTTAAAATCATTTTTGTTGAAAGATATTTTATAATATATGTAAAAAAATAAAAATAAAAGTTAAAAAAATTAAATACTAAAAAAAATAAAAAATAAAATTTCAAAATTTCAAAAAATGATATGAGAAAATAAAAAGTAAAAATCATTAAAAAAATTTATATTTATAATTTATTATGAATTAAATGAAATTAAAATTTAATACTCCATATAGTAAAGATTTAATTTTTACATTTAATACTCCATATGTTTGTGAACCAAACGCAGGATCATGTCAGGAATGATTTGCGCCGGACCTTGCTTCGGCACCGGTGGCAACTGCTCCGTACTTACTTCAAATTACAAATTTGGGCCGCCGCTCTCCTCCCTTCCCATTCACCGGCTAAGGCGGGGGGGCTATCGGTTATCGCCTGGCAGCGTCGGCTGTGGACGGCGAAATGGCAGAATTCACAGTGCGAATGAGTGGTATGTGGGCCGGAGCTCCGTCCCGGCCATTTCCGCCGTCGCGAACTCCGAGGACTCTAAGGCGGCGAAGCTTCGTAAAATCCTAGAGTCGCCGGGGATTCATCTCGGTCCTGCCTGCTTCAATGCTCTCAGCGCTAAGCTCGTGGAGAGAGCCGGCTTTAATTTCGGATTCACCACTGGTACTTATCTTATCTACTCCAATTGCAACTGCTTCCTCCTCCCGTTTAGCTTACTGGTGTTGATATCTCTTCTATGTGCTTTTCGTTTATATTGTTGATGACTATCAATCTATCATCATCATCCTATGGGGTGCAGTATATATGTTGAACAAAAAGAGAGAAGGATGAGATGTGGAAAAAACTACTCCGTATTACTTTCGACTTTATAATTGATCCGCGGGGTCATATATTTATAAGCTTCATTTGATCCTTTGATATAGTTTCTGTGTTCATGTGGTCACAGATAGATTTATGTATTGGGGGTCACATCTAGATGCCGGAGCATGCATAATAGTATTAATGATCTATAATGCTTTAATAAGGGTTTGGAATATCTGCTGCTCAGTTGGGCTTACCATACACGGGGCTAATGTCTTATGGGGAGATGGTGGCTGTGGGACAAGAAATTACACAAGCTGTCACCATACCCTTAATTGGAGATGGAGACAATGGGTATGGTAATGCCATGAATGTCAAGAGAACTATCAAAGGGTATATTCGTGCGGGCTATGCGGGAATACTTCTTGAAGATCAGGTTTGCTTTTCTATAAAACTCTTGTAGTGTCTTTAAAAAAAGCTCATGTAGTACCTTATAAATCTTCCTTCCATCCTTGTGAATGCATGTTTTCTTTCTACTGCTTGCTTTGTGTATGAAAGCCTATCCTTGTGTATGAAAATCTTCCTTCCATCCTTGTGATGTAATATCTAATACAATTTCTTATAAGGGTCATGTGGAATTCGTATTTGTGGAATCCCGAAACTTTTACTAGAAAGTATATAGCTAAAAGATGTTACAAACAGAAAGAACTCTTCCAAGTTTTGTCACTTGGATACTACAACAATCCCGTAAAATCCCATAAAAAGTAGGGCCTGGAGAGGTTCTGGGTGTGTATGCCCAGACCTTACCCTACGCGGCCTGTTTCAAGATGTCCGGCTCAAATCCCACTTGAATATTACATTAGGAGTTTTATGCAACAACATATGGATTTCTCTTTGGCAACCTTTTGCAAAAGATGGGTTTATTGTAGCTGGATCAAATGTGTTGTAGATATGGTGTAGTTTTCATGTATTGTTTGTCTATTATAATGTTCATTTTGCGGAATATGTATTTTCTTTTGTAGGAAGGTTACATGTTTTCCCTTTGTCCAAAACTAAATATGTGTCTTTGTATATTTAGTAACCAATTCTAGAAATCATAGTGTCTATCTAGCCAAATAAACATGCTTTATAATGATAGAAAGAGACTATCATAAAAAAAGAGATTATCTTGCGAAAGGTTTTCCTAGTATCTTGCTATGCCTTATTTTCCCCGTTTAAGAGCTAATTCTTGCATTGTTGTCTATGCTAGGTCTCTCCAAAAGCTTGTGGTCATACACGCGGCAGGAAAGTTGTGTCCAGAGAGGAAGCAGTCATGAGGATCAAAGCTGCCGTTGATGCTCGGGCAGAGTGTGGAGCAGACATCGTGATTGTAGCACGTAGTGATTCACGTCAAGCAATCTCTTTTGAAGAATCACTTTGGAGGTCACGTGCTTTTGCTGATGCGGGGGCTGATGTTCTGTTCATTGATGCTCTTGCATCAAAAGAAGAGATGAAATCGTTCTGTGAAATTTCTCCATCAGTTCCGAAGATGGTATGTGCTTCTCTTATGTCATTAGAGTACCATGATCAGCCCTTACTATTTCCAATGTCTGTCATGTCCCAGTTCCAAAGAAGGTATGTGCTTCTCTTATGTCGTTGGAGTAGTGTAGTGCGCGCTGCACCATTACTACTCTCGAAGTTAGTTATGTCTCACAGTCTCAGTGTAGAAAACCTGTCCATAAACATATGATCATGCTCAAGTCCTTTTCTACTTCTTTTGTGTGAAACAAATGTTATTCAGGTTATATGTATTTCAATGGTTTAAGGATATAATCCACATTGAACACCCTGACTAAAAAACTAATATATAAAATACGAGTATGAGTTACTCCTCTCATTGTCAATTGGTTTTGGATTGGAATCTCACAATTAAACATGCCATCAAACCCAAGGCTTAGGAGCTCAAAAACGAAGCATAGGTCTTATTTGAGCAAGTGACAACTTGGGGCAAAAAGACCCAAGTTGCACTTAAAGGGGGATATTTATGATAATGTCACATCGAACAGCAAGACTAAAAGAGACTAATATATAAGAATAGGAAAATGCTAGGGGTACACCAAAGGTGTACCCCAAATGTCCCCCACCCCTTCCTTGACCACAAAAATTGGCAAGTAAATTCAAAAAAAATAAATAAATAAAAATCAAATAAAATGGATGGTGAAGAAGTATGTGGTGTACATTTGGGGTACACCAATAGTGTACCCCTAGCATCTCCCATAAGAATATGAGTTACCCCTCTCATCACCAGTTGGAATCTTGCAGTTCTACAAATCCTCTCATCATTTGATGTAGACCCAAGAAGTTCTTATGAAGATTATTTTGTCTGAACTGAATTTTCAGGGAGAGCATTGATATTAAAGAAATATTTGGCTATTTGCTTTCATTATATCATTCTTTGTTGAGTACCAGCGCAAAAACCATAACTTTTTATGCTGAGATTTTGTTGGGCATGCTTTGTTCTAAAGTAGATTTTACAAAAAAGAGTTTGACCGTTGCCCCGTTTTAGTGTCACATTATTGTTTTCTGCAACCAAAAAAATTGTTTCTGGAACAGTTTCTATTTCTGAAATGCTTTTTCATGCATTGAGACTTTGAATCAATTACATCATCAAAGAAATCAACGATCTTAGCTTTCCATAATCTCCGGTGGAGCCAAAGGTTCACTATTTTTTGGCTTTGGGGTATGATGGAATAAACCAAAATGACTCTTTCAACTGTTGTGCTTCTTCTAATAGTAAAGTAACAGTTAGTCAATGCGACTTTCGGCACTCATCATGGGCCATTCGGAAACCGCCGCTCTATGTCTTAAGCATAGGAGTCGGGCTGCGTACGTGCTTACTTGTGGTGCTTAAGCCGGGGGCCTCTATGGAAACAGCCTCTCTACTTTCGAGTAGGGGTAAGGTTTGCGTACACACACTCTCCCAAGACCCTACTTTTGGGTGATTCAACTGAGTTGTTGTCGTTGTATTGTTGATACTGGCAGTGGGCTGAGTAATTCTAATGTTAGACTAACATAATAACAATATTATTGCTATGCGCTACTCTTTACAAGCTTTGTCAATGAAGCTTTGATATGCTGTTATGTAGGCCAACATGCTTGAAGGTGGAGGAAAAACACCAATACTCACTCCAGCTGAACTTGAGGATATCGGTTTCAAAATAGTAGCATATCCACTTTCCTTATTAGCGGTATCTGTTGGTGCAATGCAGGTAATATTTTATACTTCCCTCAACAACAACAAACCCAGTAAAATCCCCAAAAAAGTAGGGAACATCTTATACATTCCTCGAAAAGAAATTTTATGACCACTTTTTGCATTTTCCACCTGTCATTTGTTGGTTCCCATAGTTTTACTTACTCTTTTGGTGCATATTGGTCACTTTCAGTACTGCTTTCCTATACAGGACATGCACTTATTTAAAATTGTTTTCTTCTTCCTCATCCCAAATTAACTTCTTCCTGAAATTTATATAGATGGCCCCTCAGTTTTGCAGTAGGTTTAAATTCTCATTTCGGTCACCTAACTGTTACTTGGGTTGCAAATTGGTCACTTTTGGCATGTTAAGCCGAACACTTGCCAAAATGCATTTCTAGCGACCAAATCATAACTCAGTTCAAAGACGTGTGGCCAAATCTACACTTAGTTACTCATAACATTTACGGGAAGAAAGAGTAGAAAAGTGTATGACCCTCATAACATTGTAATTAAGAGCTTAGTTAATGCTTGTTCTCTACGCCTTAATTTTTACAGGAACCCAAGTATGGATGTAGTTGAAATTTTAATTAAAATTAGAATCTTCAAACTGGAGTTAAGATAACAGTCCCCTACTGTTCTTTGTTCTCTAAAATATAGATATATAAAGGGAAATTAGAAAACTCTTTAAAAAGTTTGTTTGAATATAAATATTTCATTGTGTGTAATTTACTCTTCTTTGATCTGCAAAATATAAATATATAAAGGGCAGTTATGTAAACTCTTTCAAAAGTCTGTTTGAATACAAATATTTCTGTGTGTAATAAAAAACTCTAGAAGAAATACAGATATACTTAGTTGAATTATTTTGAGCCTCTAACTGCAATGTAATTTACATATTTGAAAAAAAAAACTACTTTCAGGATGCGTTGACAGCCATTAAAAGTGGTCGTTTGCCTTCACCTGGAAGCATGCCTTCATTTGAAGAAATGAAAGAGATACTCGGTTTTAACACCTACTATGAAGACGAGAAGCGCTATTCAATTAGCACCAGCCAGCTCTCTTCGCAGAAAGGTCCCCCCCCACCCCCCAGTATTACTTCTTTTAAAACATATAAAATTGTTTTTACATTGATCTAATTCTTCATGATAAAAACAAACATGAGTTTTTTAAATTCAAATTAAATTAGCTTCCATTCTTCAATTATTTATACATATGCATCAAGTTTGGTACTCAGTTATGCATACCAAACCAGGTTCTCTGTCAGATGAATGCGACTATGGTGCTTCACACAATGTCGAAAATGATTCAGAAGTAACAGAACTGATTAGTCAAAGAGCAGCGGATGAGGTGGTTGAAGTATTAACTCCCGAGGTATCTAATCCCTATAATAGAGATAGTTCAGGAGGATCTTTCTCAAGGATGTGGTCTCGAAAGTTGAGAGTTAAAATTACAGGAAGAGATGGATCTGACAAACTTGATATAAGAATTCCGGTAAGTCACTCTTCTTGCCCATCGCTGACTGCGTCTATGAAAGAAAATAAAATGATAAAAGACAGTTTAAATCCCCAATTAGTACAAAATCTACTAGAGTTTGGAGTGGTGCTACAATGCCCTCTCCATTGCCTCACCGCATTTTCTCCATACTTCTAAGCAGGAATATGGTCTGCGTACACACACACACTCCCCACTTCTAAGTAGGGGTAAGGCCTGCGTACACATACCCTCCCAAGGTCCTACTTTTTGTGGGATTTCACTGGTTTTCTGGTTTTCACACACATGAGGGATTGAACCCCACGAAGGGCGCCCGTTCACCCACCCACCCACCATATTTGCAATTGTGCATGAGGTTACACCACCCACATTGTTGCGTTAACTCCAAAATTCGAAAAGTGTGTGCTTGCAGCAACAATGACATGCTTTTCACATTTCTAGTGCCCCCCCCCCCCCCACATTTCACTGGTAAGGGTGCAAACTTTTAATCGTGCTCACTTTTGGGGGGTGAACGTTTTCACACGGGGACGCTCTTTTGTTGCAAAAAATTCTTCATCCTTCCTTCCCCGTCTAGTTAATCCCATGATCTGCATCTTCATTCTCCATGTTAGGAGTAGCCCATTTTTAGTATTATGAACATGACTCTTCTCTCGAATCTTGGCACAGAAATATATATTTCTCGTACTACTGTATTCCTTAATCCTTATAGAGTATTATTCATGATTTGCCTATGCTTATCTAACCCTTCCCCCCCCCCCCAAAGGTTCTTAAGGCTGGATTTTTGGAAGGAATCACAAACATAGTCCCAGGTATCGTCTACCACCAAACGCATCATCGATCAGTTCTGTTGATTGTTTAAAATGCTTTTTAAATCTTATAAGTCTCTTGTATACAATGCAGCACTAGTGGGGGTGAACTTGAAGGACCTTTTGGAGAATACCATTTTTGAAGATGGAGGGAAGCAGTTGTTAGATTTCAAGGATACAATGGGTGACAGGATTCAAGTTTTCTTGGAGTAAGCGAACCGGAGTGACTAATATGGTTCTGAAAATCGAACCAGTAAGTTGAAATTGTAATCTTAAACTTGTATATAAACATAAAGAAACCATGCCGAGTAAGGCCCCGTTTGGCATTAGATTCGGTGCATTCAAGGATAGCTTCTAACTTTGATATTTTCAAAGTTAATACGGAGTATGTACTATGAAATTTATAATTTGTAATCAAAGTTTCTAAATTTTGATTAAAAAAAGTCAAACTGCGGAGTTTTCTAAAGGACAGAGGAGTATAATCTTTAATTTTTGACATGTTACAGAATGATTTAAGAGCAATGCTAGGGTACACCACGTTGTACCCCAACACTCATCTAACCACACCATTATTATCAGCACTTTGATATCTCCGTCCCAGAGTATTTGTCCAGTTTTGACTTATTTCAGTCAACTGTTTTTAACATTTGACCTATAATTAAATAAAATATATATTGTATATTAATTAGATCAAATAATATTTTAAAAATGTATTATATAATAAATCTAATAAAACTATTTTTGTATCAATATTTAATACTACCTTCGTCTCTGAGTATTTGTTTAGTTTTGACTTTTTTTGGTCAATTATTTTTAGCTTTTGACCTAAAATTAAATAAAATAAACATTGTATATTAATTAGATAAAATTATATTTTGAAAATGTTTGATAAAGTAAATATAATAAAACTATCTTTGTATCAATATCTAATATCATTTTTATTTAACTTATCAATTCTGACCAAAAAAGGTCAAAAGTCGACAAATACTCAGGGATCAAAGGAATATCATTTTTATTTAATTTGGGGTTAAAATTTATTAATTTTTACCAAAAAAGTCAAAAGTGAACAAATACTCCAGGATGGAGGGAGTATTTTTTACACAAAATGTAATACCCTGATTTGAAAATAAATAGATTGGAGAAAGAAAAAGGCTCAAAAGGATTGATAATATTACTCATACTAACAAGGTGCATCTTCTTTTCGAAAACTCATTACTTTGAAACATCAAAGTTAAACATGTGACATTGGAGATTGTGGAAAGTCAAATGAGAAGAATATTTTCGGATGGAGGAAATATTAAATTGCTATTTATCACATTTTCACATTTTTGAAATAATTATGTTCAGTCAAAAGAGTCAAAGATACTTGAACCTCTCATTTAAAAATGAGAAATAACTTATTCGTAGGTCTAAGCTGCATATCAGAGTTTCTTGTTGTGAAATTGCAGTGTGGTGCGTTGGTTTGTACATGATCATCTAGTTGTCGAGAGACAAAAAGACCCAATATGAGTTACATACAAAATGGAGTAATGCCCACAAGCGGATCCATGTTATTGGATACGAAGGTAGTGGCCCCCAGTCAATTTTTTTTTATTTTTATAGTGTAAAAATTTTTTTGTGGTAAATTAAAAGACCATCCCCAGTTAAAAAATTGTGGCCTGAGTGCTAGAATAAAATTATAATTTCAAATTAAAATATAATATTTAAATAAAATATAAGGATAAAATATTAGTCTTGAAAAAATGGCGGGGGTGCTTATTCTAATATTAGCCTTTATAAATATTTCATTTTCTATATGAATACTTATTTCAAAATAAGCTTATTCATTTTTCATCATAATAGCCTTGAAAAAAATGAGGGGGTGCTTCCGAATCCCGCCCTACTCTTTACTATGAGTTTGCCTGAAATTATATTTTTTTCTGGATCCGTCACTAATGCCTCTAGACAATCATGGTTAGTTTCAATCTTTACACATATAACCTTGTAAATTTACGTTTATAGCTTAATATACCCTTTTGATGTTATACACATTTTGCCCGCATCATATTTTTTTTATCCGCCGCTACTAATGCTACCAGACGATCATGTGTAATTTCAATCTTTACACATACTCCTTCCGTCCCAAAAAGTCTTTCACGTTTTAAAAAAATCGTGTCCCTAAAAGTCCTTCTGATTTCTATTAAAAAACTATTTTTACCCCTTAATTTGTCATACCCTACCTATCACATCATATTTTTTTCCTAATAATCTACACATCACATCCTACATTTACCCATCACATCAAAGGTATTTTTAGTCAATATGTCTCTATCTTTATGGGACAGAGGGAGCATAACTTTATGAATTTACGTTTAAAGCTTAATTTACCCCTTGATGTAATACATATTTCATCTAAAAGTAAGGTTCTTGTTTTAACTTATGATATTATAATTATTTTTATTTTAAAATATTCAAGAATTGATAGAAAATTAATATGGTGGAGAAATGTCAAAACAAGGTGAAGAGCAGCATGCAAGTAACATGTAGCCCAATATTGATTATTTGAATTGTTATTGGACCCACGATTGGAACTGACGTCCAACTAAACGATCCGGCCCAGAAAAAAACAATAAAAAACAGCCGTTGCTGGGGATCGAACCCAAGTAACCCGCGTGACAGGCGGGAATACTTACCACTATACTACAACGACTTGTTTGATCATTTAACGAGTCGCATTAATACAACGTAATCAATTTTCCAAAATCGATGCCGTTGCAGGGGAATAGGAGAATGAGAAATCTCACTCCAACTATCAGTGTACTGTCATTTCGTGAATAGTCCTTTGTCCACTTGCAGGTGTACGTTTTCATCCATGGCAAATGACATGTCAAGAAGCTCCTCGAAGGTGGTGTAGAAAGAGGGTTAACAAAGAAGAAATGCAATTAAGCTTCTAGAAGGTGGTGCAGAAAGAGGGTTTACCATGGAAGAAATACAAATGAAGATCCTTAAACTCTAGAAGGTGGTGTTGAAAGAGGGTTTAATAGGGAAATGCAAATGATGAAAGTTTCACTTCCCTCAGCGTATGGCCTGTAGCAACCTAAGAATTGCAAGTTGTTGCAGAGGTTGCTGAAGCACTTTCTAATACTAAGTTGTAAAACAAAGTGCTTCACCAATTACTGAATAAACAGACTAAAACAGAAAAAGAACAGCACACAACACGCAAATTGTTTACGCAGTTCGGAGCAAATTCTCCTACGTCTGCGAGACCCACGTTAGTGTAACAGCCTTCCCACTAAATCAATTCAGAGTTTACACCCTCAACGACAACTGACTCAATCTATCCATTGATCTAAACCCAACAACTTAATGGGATGCAATAAACTCGGTTTATGCAGAGATACCGAGACTGAAACACTGAGCAACTTATCTGAGACGTGTTCCTGGCCTACGCTTCAGTTCTCCTCAGTTCAACCGTCTGGAACGCACGTTAATGATCAAGCAGAAGGTTATTCTGCATACCAGCCCTATGTGTTTTCCGATCTGCTTGGCTGATCAATTCTTCATTCAGGATTCTCTCTTGATATATTTTCTCTCTCTTTATTCGCACACCAAACAGGCATGTCTTCCTTTTATTTATACTTGCAAGGCGAGACCAACCCTAGTAGAATCCTGATATACCTCTACCTCCAAATTTGTGCTTATCGGGTAGAGTCCTTGATATGGCTTTCTTCCAATTTCGCACATGTCTATAATCACCTTTGGAGCACANGGCTGATCAATTCTTCATTCAGGATTCTCTCTTGATATATTTTCTCTCTCTTTATTCGCACACCAAACAGGCATGTCTTCCTTTTATTTATACTTGCAAGGCGAGACCAACCCTAGTAGAATCCTGATATACCTCTACCTCCAAATTTGTGCTTATCGGGTAGAGTCCTTGATATGGCTTTCTTCCAATTTCGCACATGTCTATAATCACCTTTGGAGCACAGAGTTCTTCTTTAGTTAGGTAAACCGCAGCTTCAGTTGGTAGAGTCCAGATGTTCTTGGACTGTTTGAGTGACGGACAGGATGCTACAGCTCTATAAACCAAATAGCTAGAACAAACTGAGTACTAAATAAACTGCTACACATGGTTTTTGTCAAAAATAAAGCCAACACATAAAGCCAACACCTATGACAAAAAGGCTAAGACACACCCAAGGAACCAACAATCTCCCCCTTTGACAATTTTTGACAAAAACCACTACTCAGCCGTGTTGAACCTCTTCTCCCCCTTTTTTGCACAAAAATTGCCAAGTTTTATTTGAAAAAATTGGGGCAAAGAATGAAGAGTAATATTCAACCGATCAAGAGTAGGTACAATGTGACATAGAACACCTAAAAAGTGTGGCATAAAGCTGTACCTACATCCGTCACTTGACCAATAAGCAATATACAAATGTGACAATGGAGTTTGTAAGGGCAAGCACAGATCATAACGAGCAATAGTGCATATCAAATAAACCATAGAACATATCCAGCATCAACAAACACCATCCAAACATCATAATCCAAAAAAGACAAGTTATGAAGTAGCAAAAAAGCATACTCCTGAAAACCCAGAGGCAAAAACAACCTCAACAGTAACACAAGCCAATATAACCAGAGTTTTGTGAGATCAAGATCATAATCAAGTAGAATCCCCTTCCTCACTCTCCCCCTCAGAGTGATCCTCCTCTTCATCAGAATGCATGCTTCCAGTGACCTCCTCCTCTGTGTCTGTATGCTCCAAATCTGGAATTGCCTCCCTAGCCTGGCGCAACAGGACCACCAAGTTACCTCTTTCGGTCTCTAGTTTCTCTTTCAGCTGTGAAGCTCTGGCTAACTCCTCTTTGACCTGCATCAGTTTCTGCTCCAAGAATCTCACCAAGGAGGGTGTCTTTTTGTCTTTTGCAGTTGTTGGACCAGCAACCTCCATGTCATTGTGATGCTTTCCCTCCATGTTCCTGCTGTCCACTTGAAGTGGTGGCTCTTCTAGTTCTTCTTCCTTCTCTTCTTCTTTGCTGAACCCCTGTGAGACGAGTAGACTGTAGAGAAGTGTTGGATAGGGAAGCCAAATGGAGTTTACCTTGTATTTCTCAGCTGCAAAGAGCATGATCTGATCAAAGATTAGTTGTCCTAGGTCAAACGGAATGTTGTGCTTAATCTTGTAGAGAAGTCTGGCCATAATCTTGGAAACAGTATTGGTGTGTGTAGTAGGAAGCCAGTGAAGAGCTGCAACTCTTAGTAAAATAGCATAGGAACTTTTGAGTATTGAGGAGGAAATTTTTGCTTTGCTGGACTGAGAGGCTCTTTGACCATTTGTGAGGTCTAGCCACATAGTCTTTTCTGAGATTTTGGTATCCTTTTTGCTGGGGTAAGATCAAGCACAGTATTGATAAGAGCAGGAGAGTGTTTATAGGTTTTTCCCGCAAAAACACCTTATGAAACATGAGGTCACTAGGATCAGCACAAGATTCCGACAAGTTGCAGTAAAACTCACAGATAACAGATTTCACAAATGATCCTTGAAGAGTGACAGATTTCAACAATTTGGATTTTTCAAGGAGAGGAATCAGATTGGTCTTCAGTTTAAAATCTTCCACATCAATTCTTCTTTGAACAATAATAGATTTCTTGTGCACATTACTGAAAAGAGACCTAGCTTTTGAGGAAACAAAACGAGAGTGAGGAGACTTTCCTATTTTCACCACCGGTGTGACCTCTGCTGCAGAGTCCATAGGGGTGAAAGATGATGATTGCTTCTTCTGGGGTGGTGCTTCTGAAATTGAGTCTTCCTCCAGCTTCAACTTTCGCTTAGATCTTCGTTGAGGGATTGTACTGGGAGTCACTTTCTTTTTTCTCTTCTTTGCTGCAGATTCCTTCTGGAATGGGACTTCCGAGACTGCAACAAGAGGATTTTCATCTAGGATTTGGATGAACTCTACGTCTTCTTGAACTGGAGCATCTGGTGGAGATTGGGTTGGCACATTGATGGTTGGTGCTGGATCTGATTTTGGCACTTCTATGGTCTCCGTTTCTTCCTCAGATTTGTGGTATTCTATGCAAAGCACCTGTGGTAGATCTGGAGCTGGTACATGTGCTGCATCATCTTCTTGTTCTTGCATGTGGGTGTCATGTACTAAAGACTCTTGATTCTCCATTGTTTCCTTCTCCGCCCTTGTTTCTTGAAGTTTCTTGCGTACTTGACAGTGTTTTTTGAACCAGGTGGGCTTGCGTTTTGAGACATTTGGGCGATTGAACTTCTGTGGTATAGCAATCTTGCTCCTCACCATGTCTGCCTAGCAATCGATTGCAGAGAATTAGGGTTACTGGAAAAACTTGGAGAGGACGAATATGAATGACTCTGGCCAAGGGGATTGATTTTCCCTCTAATTGAAAGTCTTAGTTTTGTGCCCTTTCGTTTCCTGAGAATAATACGGCGCCTGATAGCTTTTGAGAAGTGTGCTTCATAATGACACAAATATTTAAAAGTGTGCCTCATAATATTCCTCCTCATTTCAAAGTTCCAGCATATGACATGGCGTGTACACTCTGAGCTGGCCTTTAAGTGTCCACGTGTAAAAGAGAATTTAGAAGGGAGCACAAAGGCCTAGATCTGACCTGAGCTTTTCAAATCTATTTCCGTCCAGTGCCTTAGTAAAGATGTCTGCAAGTTGTTCCTCTGTTGGAATATGTTCCAAAGCCACTGTCTTATTTTCTACTAGTTCACGTATGAAGTGATGTTTTATATCGATGTGCTTGGTACGTGAGTGTAAGACAGGATTTTTTGAAATACTGATTGCACTTGTATTGTCACAGTAGAGAGGTATTGTACAATGACTGATGCCATAATCTGCTAGCATTGACTTCATCCACAATAATTGTGCGCAACAGCTCCCAGCTGCTATGTATTCTGCTTCAGCAGTTGACAGAGACACTGAGTTTTGTTTCTTGCTCATCCAAGCTACCAGATTACCTCCAAGAAGAAAACACCCTCCTGAAGTACTTTTTCTGTCATCTATGTTTCCGGCCCAATCAGCATCACTGTAGCCTGTGAGATTTGCTGTACCACCTTTGACGTACCACAACCCTAGATTTTGTGTCCCTTTGATATACTTCAGAATTCTTTTTACTGCCTTGAGATGTGATCCTTTTGGACTTGCTTGATATCTAGCACAGACTCCTACACTGTAGCATATGTCTGGCCTGCTAGCTGTTAGGTATAGTAGACTTCCTATCATCCCTTTGTATTTAGTAGGATCCACATCTTTTCCTAGGTCATCTCTGCAAATCTTCTCATGCGTTGGACAGGGTGTTCGAGCACTTTTACAGTCACCCATGTCAAACTTTTTTAGCATGTTTTGAGCATACTTTGTTTGAGAAATAAATATTCCTTCAGCAGTTTGTTTGATTTGTAGTCCTAGGAAGAAGGTTAGCTCTCCTATCATACTCATTTCGAATTCTGTCTCCATGACTTTGACAAACTGGTTAACCTGTTTCGTTGAAGTTGATCCAAACACAATATCATCAACATATATTTGAGCTATCAGGATATCTGAGTCATACCTTTTGAAGAACATGGTGTTGTCTGCACCTCCTCTGTTGTATCCTTCTCTTAACAAATATGATGTGAGTCTCTCGTACCATGCTCGAGGTGCTTGTTTTAGCCCATAGAGTGCCTTCCTTAGTTTGTACACATGCTCACGATGTTTTTGATCAACAAAGCCCTTGGGCTGAGCCACATATACTTCCTCTTTTAGGTATCCATTCAAGAAGGCTGTTTTTACGTCCATCTGATATAGCTTCATATTGAGTATACATGCCAGGTTGATGAGCATACGTATAGACTCCAGTCGTGCTACTGGTGCAAATGTTTCTTCAAAGTCTATTCCTTCTACTTGTGTGTATCCCTGAGCCACCAGTCTTGCCTTGTTTCTTATGACATTTCCTTCTTCATCAGTTTTGTTCCTGTAGATCCACTTAGTGCCTATTACATTCACCTTGTCTGGTTTTGGTACTAGTTCCCAAACTTTGTTCCTCTCAAACTATTCTAGCTCCTCATGCATTGCATTTATCCATGCTTCATCAGTAAGTGCCTCCTTTATGTTTCTGGGTTCTGAAGTTGATGTATAGTAAGCCTTTGTCATCTCAAGGAAATTGATGGTCTTTTTCCTGGTCTTGACCCCTTCTGTTGGTGATCCGATGACATTCTTCAGGGGATGATTCTTTTGAATATGTGTGGGAACTGTAGATGTCTCTGGTACTTGCTCCTCATCTTCAGTTGTTTGTGTTTCTTCTGGCTGAGCTTCTTGATCTGGTTCAACAGGTGTTATATCAGTTGCTGGAGCATCTTCTGTATCATCCTGGTTCTTTTTCTCCATCCGATCATCAACAATCACATTTGTAGACTCCATGACTGCTTTGGTTCTTTTGTTGTAGACTAGGTTAGCTTTACTGTTTGGAGAGTACCCAACAAAGATAGCTTCATCACTTTTTGGATCAAACTTTCCTTTTTGCTCTCGGTCTCTTAGAACAAAACACCGGGCTCCAAAAATATGGAAATGAGCGATGCTTGGTGTTCTTCCCTTCCAAAGTTCATAGGGAGTTGACTTTGTCCCACTTCTCATGTACAATCTATTGATAGTGTAACATGTTGTATGGACGGCTTCTGCCCACAGTTTCTTAGGCAGATCAAAAGTATTTATCATTGTTCGTGCCATCTCCTGAACATGCCTGTTTTTCCTTTCAGCTACTCCGTTTTGTTGTGGTGTCTTTGGTGCAGAGAACTCATGCCATATCCCATGTTGATCACAATAATCTTCAAATGGCTTGTTTTCAAATTCACCTCCATGGTCACTTCGTATTCGGATGACTCCTTTTATTTTCAGCTGCTTTTCATTTTGTACTTTGTTGCAAAGAGCTGCAAAGGCTTCTAGTGCATCATCCTTGTGCTTCAGAAAACTCACCCAGGTGTATCTTGTAAAGTCATCCACCACCATAAGCACAAACCTCTTCCCTCCTATGCTTTCAGTCTTCATGGGACCGAATAGGTCAAGATGAAGTAATTCAAGTGGTTGCTGAGTTGTTCTGAATGTCTTCTTTGGATGACTTGAGTGGACCTGTTTACCAAGCTGGCATGGTTTGCATACCTCATCTTTAATTTTTGTGATTTTTGGTAAACCTCTCACAGCTCCTGAGTTTGAGAGAGTTGCCAGATCCTTGTAATTGATGTGCCCTAGTCTGTAGTGCCATAGTCTGGCGTCTTTCTCACTCGCTGTGTAGCACAAGATGTTGGGGCTCACTCTATAACAGTTGTCTGTGGTTCTGTCGCCTTCTAGCACAACCAACTTGTTTTTGTCCTTTACCCGACATTTTTGTTGAGTAAAGGTCACCTCCAACCCTTGATCACATATCTGACTGATGCTTAAGAGATTTACTTGCAATCCCTTAACTAGCCAGACATTCTTGATAGGGAAGTCCAGTGACATTTAATGTTCAACATCCAATGATCTGTCCATGTGCCCCTCCTCCAAATCTGACACTGCCTCCCTCTATCTCCTGCATGTTCTTCAAACTTTTGTTGTCTCCAGTCATGTGATGTGAGCATCCACTATCCAATAGCCATTGCTCTGGGGTCACTCGCATGCATGAGTTTGCGTGTGATGCCACATGCTTTTGCACCCATATCTGCTTGACTCTAGGGCTTCTCTGTCTTCCCCTCTTGGTTCTGCGGCACATCTTTCTAATGTGGCCCCATTCTTTGCATCGATAGCATCTGTAGTTTTCATAGGGATTTCTTGTGTATGCATGATGCCTCTGATTTTTGTGTGATATATCAGTTGTTGTTTGCAGAACTTTAACTGGCAGACTGTCTATCTCTCCACTGGTGTCACTTCGTTTAATGAAGATTACTAATGGTGTTTTGGTTGATTCTCCTTTTGGATAACCCAGCCCGGTTCTATCTCCATACATCTTGGAGATGTCAACTTGGTGTTCAATGGCTTTTGCCTCTGTGCTCAGCATCTATTCTTGTGAAATTCCTGCTCCTGCTTTATTCATCCACTTCTGGTACTTCACATGATGGTCAAGTTCGTGCCTCAGATTGGCATTTTCTGTTTCCTTTTGATTCAGCTCATGTTGCAGCTTCTCAACAGTTTGTTCGCAGATCTGCAGCTTGGTTTTTAAGAGGAGATTTTCAGATACATTCCTCTTGTTGATATCAAGCAGATCACTCCATTTTTCTTGGAGTGTCCTTAATTGTTCTTCAGAGTCTTCTTGTACTTCTAATGTGACAAAGGCGCAGTTACTTTCTCCATCAGTAACTTCAGTGTCTGGTTCTTCATCACTCCAAGTTGAGGCAAATGCCTGCCTTTTCTTTTTCATGTTGTTTGCACATTCTGTTTGAATGTGACCGAAGCCACCACACTCAAAGCACTGTGGTCCTTTTCTCCTTGCTTCTAAGGGTTGTGCCTTGAATTCCTTCTCTTTCATCATCTTAGTTTGAGAGCTTCTCTGAGGATCTTGCATGAGGACTTGTTTACCCTTTTTCTGGAGCCACCTTTTTGTAAACTGTTTGGTGACCAGTGACAGCTGTTCTTGAAAGTCATCATCTGATATGACATCATCTTCTAGATCTAGATCACCCACCTGAAACGCTATTTGTTTCTCCGTCTTCTTCTTCTTTTGTTCTTCTGACATGGCCAACTCAATAGTCTCAAGATTTCCCATTAGTTGATCCAGCGTCATCCTTTTCAGATCATGTGCTTGACGTATGGCTTTGGCATCAACTGAGTAGCATTCTGGTAGGGCACGCAGTACCTTTAGAACAAGACTGTCTTCTTCAAAAGGTCTTCCAAGACGTTCTGCTTCATTTGCCAAATCTCTCACTCTGCCATGGAATTGAGTAATACTCTCCTTGTCTACCATTCTGAGATTTTCAAATTTTGTCATGAGAATTTGGTATTTTGCTGTCTTGACTCTCTGATCTCCTTCATGGGTTGTCTCAAGGATCTTCAAAGCCTTTTGTGCTTCAGTGCAATTTGCAATGAGTCTGTATTGAGAGCTGTCCACTGCTCCAAATAATGCATTTAAGGCTTTGTCATTGCATTCAGTAGCTGCAACTTCTTCCTTAGAGTATTCCTCAAATGTTTTGGGGATTTTTGCATCTGATCCTTCAACTGTCTTTGTGGGAATCTGCCAGCCAGTTTCAACACTTCTCCAGACTCTCCCACCTTGTGATTTTAGGAAAGCCTTCATGCGCCCCTTCCAGAAGTTGTAGTTTGGTCCTCTTAGCAGTGGTGGTCGTTGTACATTTGCTCCTTCTTCCATATCTCCCATGTTTGATCTTTAAAGCTAGTATCTTAAGCTTTAATGGCTTTGATACCAATTGAAAGTTTCACTTCCCTCAGCGTATGACTTGTAGCAACCTAAGAATTGCAAGTTGTTGCAGAGGTTGCTGAAGCACATTCTAATACTAAGTTGTAAAACAAAGTGCTTCCCCAATTACTGAATAAACAGACTAAAACAGAAAAAGAACAGCACACAACACGCAAATTGTTTACGCAGTTCGGAGCAAATTCTCCTACGTCTGCAAGGCCCACGTCAGTGTAACAGCCTTCCCACTAAATCAATTCAGAGTTTACACCCTCAACGACAACAGACTCAATCTATCCATTTATCTAAACCCAACAACTTAATGGGATGCAATAAACTCGGTTTATGCAGAGATACCGAGACTGAAACACTGAGCAACTTATCTGAGACGTGTTCCTGGCCTACGCTCCAGTTCTCCTCAGTTCAACCGTCTGGAACGCACGTTAATGATCAAGCAGAAGGTTATTCTGCATACCAGCCCTATGTGTTCTCCGATCTGCTTGGCTGATCAATTCTTCATTCAGGATTCTCTCTTGATATATTTTCTCTCTCTTTATTCGCACACCAAACAGGCATGTCTTCCTTTTATTTATACTTGCAAGGCGAGACCAACCCTAGTAGAATCCTGATATACCTCTACCTCCAAATTTGTGCTTATCGGGTAGAGTCCTTGATATGGCTTTCTTCCAATTTCGCACATGTCTATAATCACCTTTGGAGNTGATCAATTCTTCATTCAGGATTCTCTCTTGATATATTTTCTCTCTCTTTATTCGCACACCAAACAGGCATGTCTTCCTTTTATTTATACTTGCAAGGCGAGACCAACCCTAGTAGAATCCTGATATACCTCTACCTCCAAATTTGTGCTTATCGGGTAGAGTCCTTGATATGGCTTTCTTCCAATTTCGCACATGTCTATAATCACCTTTGGAGCACAGAGTTCTTCTTCAGTTAGGTAAACCGCAGTCCTTCTTCAGTTGGTAGAGTCCAGATGTTCTTGGACTGTTTGAGTGACGGACAGGATGCTACAGCTCTATAAACCACATAGCTAGAACAAACTGAGTACTAAATAAACTGCTACACATGGTTTTTGTCAAAAATAAAGCCAACACATAAAGCCAACACCTATGACAAAAAGGCTAAGACACACCCAAGGAACCAACAAATGAAACATCTCCTAGCCTGGAAGGTGGTGGAGAAAGAGGGTTTCAAGAAATGCAAATGAAGGTGGTGTAGAAAGAGGGTTTCAAGAAATGCAAATGAAGGTGGTGTAGAAAGAGGGTTTCTACTGAGTATACACTTTTTCTAACTAATTATTTGTCTTTTAGTTTATTAGTTTGTGTTTATTTTTTGTTTCTTTTTTCTTTATGTTACATTTTCGGTTTGAATTTGAAGTATTTTGATGTTATGTACACAAAATCCTACTGGTATGTATGATAATCTTAGTGTGGTTTTGTTAAAGAATAACATTTTCAACCCTTTTGGTGGTCTATTGTAACATTGCATCGAATTATTGGTCTGACTCAAGAAACCTATTACTCTGCGTGTGCATGTGTGCTGGTAAGTGTCAAATAAATTTCACATTTTAGTAAGATACTACGTAGTGCACAGTTGTAACCCTATCGAGTCGCAAAAAATTTTGACACGTTTCGACTATTTTGGTGTATTTTTTTTACACATTTTGACTATAAGTTGTAAAAAGAGTATTTTTAATTATAATGTACTCGTAAATACTAATGTAATTGAGATGACTTTAAGATGTAATATTGATAAATCAAATCTATGGTATTTTTAATGAACAAAATTTTGTTGACATTGAGTTTCAATGTCATATTATAGCATTAGTTCTATTGGGGTATTTACGATATTCCAATTGAAAAGTTGACAGTTCTTTTCCTCAAGTGTGACTTATCCCGGACTTGGAAATTTACTGGAGGTGAAGAGTATTGGGCCATAAAATTTTTACTGGAGCTCGCGAAAAGTTGACAGTTCTTTACACATATCACCTTATGAATTTACGTTTAAAGCTTAATTTACCCCTTGATGTCATACATATTTCGTCAAAAAATAAGGTTCTCGTTTTAATTTCTGATATTATAATTATTTTTATTTTAAAATACTCAAGAGTTGATGTAAAACTAATATGGTGGAGAAATGTCAAAGCAAGGTAAAGAGCATGCATGCAAGTAACTTGTAGCTCAACATTGATTATTTGAATTGCCCGCAACTAGAACTCACGTCCAACTAAACGATCCAGCCCAAATAAACAAAAAAAACCGCCATTGTCGGGGATCGAACCCGAGTCACCCGCGTGACACGCGAGAATACTTACCACTATACTACAACGACTTGTTTGATCATTGAACGGGTCGCATAAATACAACGTAATCAATTTTCCAAAATTGATACCGTTGCAGGGGAATAGGAGAATGAGAAATCTCCGTCTCCAACTATCAGTATATGGTCATTTCGTGAATATTCCTTTGTCCACTTGCAGGTATTTTCATCCATGGCAGATGACATGTCAAGAAGCTCCTCGAAGGTGGTGTAGAAAGAGGGGTTTACCAGAGAGGAAATGCAATTAAGCTTCTAGAAGGTAGTGCAGAAAGAGGGTTTATCGGAGAAGAAATACAAATGAAGATCCTTAAACTCTGGAAGGTGGTATTGAAAGAGGGTTTCCTAGAGAAATGCAAATGAAACTTCTCCTTGCCTGGAAGGTGGTGGAGAAAGAGGGTTTCAAGAAATGCAAATGAAGGTGGTGTAGAAAGAGGGTTTCAGGAAATGCAAACGAAGGTGGTGTAGAAAGAGGGTTTCAAGAAATGCAAATGAAGGTGGTGGAGAAAGAGGGTTTCTATTGAGTATACACTTTTTCTAACTAATTATTTGTCTTTTAGTTTATTAGTGTGTTTATTTTTTGTTTCTTTTTTCTTTATGTTACATTTTCGGTTTGAATTTGAAGTAATTCTATGTTATGTGCACAAAATCCTATTGGTGTGTATGATAATCTTAGTGTGGTTTTTTTAAAGAATAACATTTTCAACCCTTTTGGATGTCTTTTGTAACATTGCATCGAACCATTGGTCTGACTCAAGAAACCTATTACTCTGCGTGTGCATGTTGGCTGGTAAGTGTCAAATAAATTTCACATTTTAGTAAATTACTACGTAGTGGACACCTGTAACCCTATCGAGTCGCAAAAAAACTTTGACACGTTTCGACTATTTATGTATATTTTTTTTACACATTTTGACTATAAGTTGTAAAAAGAGTATTTTTAATTATAATGTACTCGTAAATACTAATGTAATTGAGATAATTTTAAGATGTACTATTGATAAATCAAATCTATGATATTTTTAATGAACAAAATTTTGTTGACATTGATATTCAATGTCATATTATAGCAATAGTTCTATTGGGGTCTTTACAATATTCCAATTGAAAAGTTGACAGTTCTTTTCCTCAAGTCGGACATAGCCCGGACTTGGAAGTTTACCGGAGGTTAAGAATATTGGAGCCATCAAATTTTTACTGGAGCTCGCAAAAAGTTGATGGTTCTTTACACATATAACCTGATTAATTTACTTTTAAAACTTAATTAACCCCTTGATGTAATACATATTTCGTCTAAAAATAAGGTTCTCGTTTTAATTTATGATTTTATAATTATTTTTATTTTAAAATACTCAAGAATTGATGGATAATTAATATGGTGGAGAAATGTTAAAGCAAGGTGAAGAACTGACGTCCAACTAAACGATTCGGCCCAAAAAAACAAAAAAAAACTGCCGTTGCCGGAGATCGAACCCAGGTCACCCGCGTGACAGGCGAGAATACTTACCACTATAATACAACGACTTGTTTGATCATTGAACGGGTCGCATAAATACAACGTTATCAATTTTCCAAAATTGATAACGTTGCAGGGGAATAGGAGAATGGGAAATCTCCGTCTCCAACTATCAGTATACTGTCATTTCGTGAATACTCCTTTGTCCACTTGCAGGTGTTTTCATCCATGGCAGATGACATGTCAAGAAGCTCCTCGAAGGTGGTGTAGAAAGAGGGTTTACCAGAGAAGAAATGCAATTAAGCTTCTGGAAGGTGGTGCAGAAAGACGATTTACGGGAGAAGAAATACAAATGAGGATCCTTAAACTCTGGAAGGTGGTGTTGAAAGAGGGTTTCCTAGAGAAATGCAAATGAAACTTCTCTAGCCTGGAAGGTGGTGTAAAAAGAGGGTTTCAAGAAATGCAAATGAAGGTGGTGTAAAAAGAGGGTTTCAAGAAATGCAAATGAAGGTGGTGGAGAAAGAGGGTTTCTACTGAGTATACACATTTTCTAACTAATTATTTGTCTTTTAGTTTATTAGTTTGTGTTTATTTTTTGTTTCTTTTTTCTTTATGTTACATTTTCGGTTTGAATTTGAAGTAATTTTATGTTATGTGCACAAATTGCAAAATTTTTTTTTGAAACCGCAACATATGATTGTCCATGACTTCAAATTTTTGAAACCACATGTATGCCATTTTTGCATGCCTATAAATCTGTTTTTTTGGTTTTACTTTGTGAGAGTAGTGTATAAAATAAAATCAAAATGTCCTTTCTAAGTCTAAGGACTAGACATAAAAAAAAGAAAGATGGGACAGCCGGTCCAATTTTGTTTCTTGAATAGTATTTTCTTTCTTTCCATTGAGTAGTCTTTCTACTCCGTACATTTTGTAGTCTTTTCTTTCCATTGAGTAGTTTTTTCTACTCCGTAGATTGATACGGAGGCGCCAACGGACTCATTGGGGAATGACGTGGAGTCCTCGACTACAATGGTGGTGCATTCTCGTCCACGTAGGAACGTGGACCACCTAAGGAAATATGCCGATTATGTTTGAACGTCCCTCTTAAACTCCCTCCGTCCCAAATTATTTGCCACATTTGTATTCCCGAGGCAAAATATCAAGTTTTTTCAATTCATTTTATTTACATATTGGTATAAAAATAAAAATATATTAAGTGTAACTTTACACAACCTGCTTGAAAAAGATCAAGTTTCATTCTTATAACACTTAATATACTTTTAATATAATTTTGTGCAAGAATTATACAAGAATTGAAAAAATCAACTCCCGCCCAAATGATTAATTAGATTAATTTATGATTAATCTAATTATGATTTATTTATCTTACAGATTTCATCCGACTCTATTATAAAATAAGGAAAAAAAATTAGAAAATAACACCAAAATTACTGATTTTAAGGGTGCGTCTTTTTTCAAATAGGAATGGTTTTATGATGACTATTATTGAATATTGATCAAACCTTGATAAACACTCTGATTGAATGATTATAATAATGGATAAACCATAATGAAACGTCGTTGATAATAACTTCTACTCCCTCCGTCCCTTCATGTTTGTCCACTTTGGAATGGACACAAATACCAAGGCATGTGGGGACAAGGAAGAAGATTACATTTATACCCTTACTTTTGCTACTTTTGGAGATGAAGTACATGTGACGGCAGAAAAGAAAAAAAGAGAAAGAACTTTTAAAAAGCAAAACTTTACAGCCCTCATCATAGTAACCATCTTCCGAATCTGGAATAATCTCATTCACCTCCTCATCGCAATCCTCTTCTTCGGAATATGGAACAATCAGATCTCTGCCACCATCCTCTAGATGATCTTCGCAGGTAGGAAATTCATCCTCCCCGGCGAAGGGCGACTCATCTGCTTTGAAGACAGTGGTCGCACCATCCATGTAGAGGCTTTTCTTCTCAAATTGTGTTTTGGGAATGAAGAAGGCAGATTCCTGATCGGAAGACATGTCAGGTCCACTCCTCATATCAAAAACTAGGGTTTCTGAGAAGAAAAGATATGTGAGGAAGAGTGAGAAGGTGATTAGATCAGAGCTGTAGAGGAGGAAGGGTGAGAAGGTGAAAAATCGACGATGGAGACGAAGATGAGTGAGAAGCAATCAGCGATGTAGATGAACAGGAGTAAGAAGCAATCGGTGGAGGCGATGAAAAAGAGAGATGAGATGAGAGAAGATGAAAAGGATTAATTTTGGGTGGATGGAACGGGTGGGTGAGTGGGTGAGGAATTGATTGTAGTGGATGGAGTGAGAAAGGGTAAAGATGGAAAGTTGTAAATTAATTATTGCCAAATTAGGAAAGTGGACAAATATTAAGGGACAACCAAAAATGGAATACTGGACAAATACAGAGGGACGGAGGGAGTATTAAATATTGATTATGACGATTAATGAATGACCTGTGTGATTATATAATGATGATGATCTTATTCTGATGAAAAATCAAAATGTTGTTATGAATAAATAAACAGTAAGAATAAATTGTAATTAAACGTATTATCCTGATTTAAATGATGATTATGAATTAATGAACCATGATTCAAGTGAATATATTGATGAGCACGAAAATAATGTGTGTTGTTAAGACTATCTAGAAGACCTCTAAGATAGAACTCAGATTAGAATGGACTGGTGTGTATAAATATGTATGTTCGATGATTTGGATACAAACGTACGAATGGGATTCATAGACCGAACTAGAGGATCACTCGTTTGGAAATACCACCCGACCCGACGATTATTAGTCGTTGTTCTGTTGTTGCCTTAAGCTGACTATAGTTTAACAGTTTAGGAATAATTGTCTTATACTAATTTCAGTTTAAGAGTCTAATTATCAATTGCCTTAAGTTAACCACATTTTAAGAGTCTGGTTATTCAAATAAAATAGTCTTAAACTAACCATAATTTAAGAGTCTGGTTAACAATATGAAATAGCCTTAAACTAGCCATAGTTTAAGAGTTTGGTTATGAAGATATGGATTTGGCCTTAGACTAAGAATAGCTAAAAGCATTGTTATGATTTGGCCTTAGACTAAGAATAGCTAAGAGCGTTGTTATGATTTGGCCTTAGACTAAGAATAGTTTAAGAGCGTTGTCATTATTTGGCCTTAAATAAAGAATAATTTAAAAGTACTATTGAAATAATAAATATTGAAAACTCCGTACTGTTTATGTTATAAAAATATTATTGTGATATATAAAATTGTTTGAAATGTTTTAAATTTTACGATTACTAAGTTTATACTTAAGTCCAAAAGGGGTTGCAGACCTGGACGAATTAGGGTGCTACAATAGTATTTTAAGTGATAAAAATGTAATGTGTCTTACTGCTATTTCTAATGCACCCGCCGAGCCATCCACACCAATCGCTAGGTAGTGTGTGGGATTGCATATGTGCCGACGACCATAATAATAATAAAACCAATCCGTGTAGTTCTCTACACAGCCTTATCCTACATAGTCTTGAGGAAGTGGCTCCATTTTATCTTCCACTAAATGGTTAAACTGATTATTATGCCACTCATTGTACATCGAAATAAAAGCATCTCGCAAAGTATTGCGCTCATCTGCCCGGTGTAGCGCTTCAACATAAGGGAATGAAAGATTTGGAATCTGTATCATCATGCCGAATTGCCGGGCAAATCTCTTTGGCATGTGTGGCTCTATTATCAATTCAAATATGATGAGGCCTTCGTAAAATCACAACTGATGACCAGTGTGACAATAATCTGGTAATGTCTTTAAATTATAGGGAGCCCAAACAACCCATAGCAAAGACAAAGAGTATTAGTTTTTTAATTTAAAATATAAATCTTAATTATTTAAAATACATACATGTCAAGAAGTGAACCGTCAAACTGGTCTCGGTAGTTATGAAGTGAAAATTGTGAAGTGACATTGAAAAACCATCCTATGCGCCACCTGTATGGGAAATGCAAAACATATTTTAGTGTTTAAATAAAACAAATATTTATCGTATTGAGCGCCATGCACTTCGTCATTTGGAAGTGGGCCATGTCGATTGTTGTCGAGCACGCGAACTTCGGGCATCACTAGAATGAGGCGTGACCAAGCCCAAAGTTGTAACAACAAAGCACATCCGCAAAATCTAGGCCTCTCGGATGTTTTAAGTGCAACTTTACACAAGCTGTGATACAAGTTTCCCAGAACTGCCGAACCCTAACTAAATTGTGCAGTCATCTCTAGAGTACGTAGTAGAGGTAGAAACTCTATAGGGACAAACTGACCAGAAGCAATTGGGAACAAAGTACCCACGAGGAGTTGTAATACCAAACTAGCGGTATATCTCTCCGCTCCCTGTCTGTGTTACCGGGCAAAATCTGTCGCTCAATTACATGGTCAATTTTATTCTCTAGTGCGGCCAAGTTAAATTCGGCTTGTCCAAGATGTTGGTCCATGATATGGAATCCAATAACTTCACGAAAGAGTTCACGATAGGTATTCAAATTAACCATTTCCTCAAAAACTACAGGTTTCCCGTCTATTCTTAAACCCATTAAACATTCAACTTCTTGTAAAATGATACCAAGTTCACCAAACGGGAAGTGAAATGCATGCACTTTAGGCCTCCACCTTTTAACGAGGACCGTAATAAAAATATGGTCTATTTTAATGGGGTGCACCCGATGTAACCCATAAAACCCACACCTTCTTAAAATTTGCACAACCCGATCATCCTTAATCTTTTCTAAAATACGAGAATCGTTTTGACATACTGATACTTTTTTTTTTCTACAAAGCTTGGTTCCGCCCAAACACAACTAGATGGATGAGTGTTTTGGAGGGTGAGCATAACATCGTTCATTTCGTTCATTGGGCCGGCAAGTTGACGTTGTATGTCGTCCATCTACATAAAACACAATAATGAATTAATGATTATTTCCATCGGCAAGGTTCCCATGACATTACCCGACAATGTCATGGGATGACCCAGGGCCACTCCGGTGCCCCGTTCGTAAAATTGATGGTTTCTACCCCCAAACCCCCGGTAGACCCCCACACCCCGCCCGGACCCGAACACACCCCCCACCCCCTCCAATTGCACCCCACAAGTTGATTTTGACTTTGGAGTCAAATTTTGACTCCAAAGTCAAAATCAACTTGTGGGGTGCAATTAGAGGGGGTGGGGGGGTTTACCAGGAGGTTAGGGGGGTAGGAACCGTCAATTTTACGAACAGGGCACCGGAGCGGCCCTGGGTCATCCCATGTGTAGAAATATTTTACGTGAAACTATGTTTTCCATTAATCACCGGGAGTTTATATACAAAGCCGAGAATACAAGTCACGGGCCCAAGCTATACACGGCCCAATACACAATAAACAAGTATACATAAAATACTAGGCTAACACTCCCCCTCAAGTTGGAGCATGAAGATCATAAATGCCCAACTTGGACAACAAACTACGAAAAAGAGGACCGGAGAGGGCCTTTGTGAAGATGTCCGCCGTTTGAAAACGCGTAGGAACATAAGCCGTCACAATATGATTGCGCTGAAGGCATTCTCGGACTATATGACAATCAATATCGATATGCTTCGAACGCTCATGAAACACTGGATTCGCGGCAATGAACAGAGCCGACTTGTTGTCGCAATATAAACGTGGAGTCGCGACACACTGAACGTCCAAAGCCGCCAAAAGTCCACGCAACCAACGAATTTCTGCACATGCATTGGCCATAGCGCGATACTCAGCCTCCGCGGAAGACCGGGAAACAGTGTTCTGCATCTTAGTGCACCATGAGACAGGAGAACCACCCAATAAAATAAAGTAACCAGTGACAGAACGGCGAGTAAGAGGACAGCTAGCCCAATCAGAATCAGAGAAGGTAGTAAGGGCGAGATTGCTATCACTACGCAACAAAATACCCTGACCAGGGTGTCCCTTGAGATAACGGAGGACACGAAGAGCCGCATTCCAATGGTCGAGACGTGGGCCTGCATAAACTGAGAGAGAGTGTGAACGGCATAACAAATATCTGGACGAGTAATGGTCAGGTACAACAAACGACCCACAAGACGACGATACTTAAGAGGATCACGAATCTTAGCACTAGTAGATCGGGCCAAATTATGATTAACTGGTAATGGAGTACAACAACATATCAGGGCCATGCTGGAGAACAAAAAGAGTGTGATCAGCATGGGCTTGACGAAAACCATATCGTCGTAGAGCAATACGAAGCTTAGTAGTGAACCAATTACGAGGAGACTGACGAAGCCCATATAAGGATTTGCAAAGACGACAAACTTTCCCTGGAAAAAGATGAGTATAGCCAGGGGGTAGTTTCATATAAATCTCATCCTGTAAATCACCATGGAGGAAAGCATTATTAACATCCAACTGATCAACCTGCCAACCACGAGCCACTGCAACAGACAACAAAACACGAACAGTAGCAAGTTTGGCAACAGGAGCAAAGGTGTCAGTATAATCAACACCAAGGCGAGCCTTATCACGCTCCTTTGTACCATCAGACCAAAATTTGGTCCTATATACCCACTGGCAACCAAGAGCACGTCGGTTAGGAGGAAGATCAACAACATCCCAGGTATGATTACGCTCCAGGGCCGAATACTCAGTGGCCATTGCCTCTCGCCATGAGGCAAACTAAACCGCTTCACGGAAATTACGGGGAACAGATGTGGCATCAATGGCTCCAAGAAACCCTCTATACCTGTCATGCAACTTAGAATAATGAACAAAGTTAGTAATAGGGAACCGAGTACCAGAAGGGGAAGAACAGGAGGTGACCGGAGCCGGAGTGACAGTTTTTGCGGAGTTAAGGACATAGTCGTTGAGGTGAGAGGGACGACGACGAGTACGAGGCGGAAGGGGCGGAATTATTGGCGGTGGAGAAGTGGTCTCCACCGTGGAGGGAGAGGGGCTGTCGTCGTCGGAGGAGGGGACGGGGGTGCTGGCCATTTCAGATAGAGAAGGGGACAAAGAGGGTGACGGAGATGGAGACGGAGACGGTGGCTGGGCGGGCTGCTGGGCTGTCACCGAGACAGTGGGGGTGACGGGTGACGGTACCAGTGGCTGGGGAGTAGTAATGGGAGTGGGAGGAACGATGAAATCAATTGATGAGGGCGTGAGGATGGGTTGGGAACTGGTCTAGGGAGTAGGAACGGCAAACGGGAAGGTTGTTTCATCAAAGGAGATGTCCCTCGTATGGAAAAATGTATGGGTTTCAAGATTATAAACACGCCACCCTTTGGTACCATAGGGATAGCCCATGAACACACACTTGATACTTCGCGGGGTAAATTTATTTCTGGGTTTACGAATGGGGTGGACATAACAAAGACAACCAAAAACCCGAAGATGACTCAAATCTTGATGTTTAGAGGAAAGAATTTCAAGAGGAGATTTTCCCCCGAGGATTTTAGTAGGAGTGCGATTAATTAAGTAGACTGCTGTTTTGACACACTCCCCCCCAAAATTCGAGTGGAAGAGACGCTTGAAACATAAGGGATCGGGCCACATTTAGTATATGACGATGTTTTCGTTCTACCCGCCCATTTTGTTGTGGGGTACCAACACAAGACGTTTGAATACACACACCCAAACTATCATAATACTGACGCAATGAAGAATTGAGAAATTCAGTGCCATTGTCAGAACGAACAATTTTTATAGTTTTAGAGTATTGGTGTTGATCATTATGAAAAAACGTCGTAGACAAGAAGTGACCTCACTCTTTGATTTAATCAAATAAACCCAGACAGGCCGAGAAAAATCATCAACAATTGTCAGAAAATAGTGTGCCCCAGACGAAATACAAGGCGAATAAGGTCCCCACAAATCACAATGAATTAAATCAAAAATAGCATCAGCTTTATTAGTACCAAGAAACGGGGCACCGGAGTGGGGGGTTTATCAGGGGGTCCGGGGGCGTAGGAACCGTCAATTTTACGAACGGGGCACCGGAGCGCCCCCGGGTCATCCCATGACATTGGAAACCAATGTCATGGGAACCAAGGGGTTTTTTATTCTGCATCCCTATTGTACAAATGTGAAATCTTTACAATGAATATTCATTTTACAAACAAGCTTGTGCAAGACATTGAGATGTCGACCCACGTGGATGCCAACAGAACTTCTCCCTCTTGTGTCCATTTTTGAATTGATCATGCCGCCTTGGTCATCGACATTTCGGTTCTCGATTGTGGCTCGTGACTCTTCTGGTGTGCCTTTTTTCTCGGTGCACTTTCTTCTGGCGAGTTGTGGAACTTTTAAATTATAAATAAGCTTGTCAGGACTTTGCACACCCCCGGGCCACCCATGAAGCTTGTGCAAAACATTGGATTAAAACTGGACGGAACGGAAATCCAATTATCCAAAATCGAAATGATTGGAAAAGTAGAGGGAATTTGAGATCCTAATAGCCCAAGGCTTCAAGATTATTTCCGGGGCTGGTCTCCATCTATATACTAGTATTCTAACCCGTGCGATGCACGGGGTCGAACTAAATTTTTGTCGATTCTGAAACCTTTTCAATGCAATATTTTTCAAAAGAATTATATAATTTTGATATGATTTTTAATACTATAGACAAAAAAGCCAAAGTAGAATAAATAATATTTGAGGAATTGAATGTTTACTCAACAAAGTTTTTTTAATACCAATTTTTTTGATAAATTTTAGGGTATATAACAATTTTGGTATGGTTGCAATGGTTTCATTTGTCATTTGGAACCAATATTTTTTATCATGTCATTGTTTTGATTCTTAAAACAGCAAAATAGAGCTAACCATCAATGAAGAATGAATTGGCTAAAAATAATCCAACAAATGACAATGTTTGACCTTGACTTTTGTTGATAGTCATTGCAAAGTATAAGACTATTGGGAAATGTCTTCTCTAGAACTTCAGGAGTAATTACATCAAATGGTACCAAATTCATCTAAGGTATATAAACTTTGTCCCCGACTGAATTTCCCAAAACCATAAAAGCATCGATAACGCTCTTTCGTAGCTCTTCCATGATTAATCTTGTAACATTACATAATCCAGATGTTTGGTCAATGTTCCCCAATAATATAATTGGTACCCCCTTTTTAAAAGTTATTTTTGTGGTTTTGGGATCTTTGAACATTTGAATTATTCAAAAACTCAACTGTTATCTAATCGTCATCAACACCTACATCTGAACCTGCCTGGCATGAAGAATCAGAACTCGGATACACCATTTCATCTTTGGGAATGAGGGATAAGACATTCATTTACCATTTCTATAACCTCAAGCATGGGTGCAAATAGTGCTCTATCCTCGAAAGAAAGAATAACTTTTCATAGTATCCAATAGGTTCAGATAAGTGAAATCCAGTATATTCTTTAGGGGTTAACTTGTGTCTAGAATCATCATCATGGACGGAATTTCAACTTCAGTTCTTCCATCAATCACTTATCCAAGTGGCCGGCCTCGAAAAATGAAAAAATGAAATTGGCCCGGTCCAAAATCTACATTTGGGCCCTATTTTATTATTTTAGAATACTTATGCTTTCAAATTAATGATGAATTAAAATATGAGGCCCTAAAATTTTAGGGGCCCTGTGCGGTTGGCCACTTTGCACACCCTTCGGGCCACCCATGTGTCCAAGCTTTTTATCTCCAACTTTGATTATCCAATTAGAAAAGGCTTGCGTGTCCCTATCTGCGCAAGATGCGCAAGGGGACGTCGATGAATACAATCTCATATTCTTCTTCAACGTATAAAGTTTACAATACGACCATATTTTTGAAGAATTGATGGTAGTACCTACATTTTCCTCTCTTGAAACTCTAGGTAAAACAGGAAGAATTTTCCAAAAATCACCTCCCAGTACAACTCTTTTCCCTCCGAATGGTTCATTTCTCGAATTTTTATTTGAGAAACTCATTTCATCTCTCATTGTGTGATCCAATGCCTCAAAAGAAAATCTATTCATTATATGCATACTTCATCTCATATGATTAGGCTTGCTTGTTGGATTAGTTCTGCTTTCAGACTTCCTTGTTTGATGGCACACCTTGAGCACTTGGTTAGTGCTAGAAAGATTGAGAATCTCAAGTGTGTTGTCCTCCCCCAGGCAAAAGCAATGTTGCAATGCCACTAGATCGTCATTCAAGACAACCTTACCATTTGACCTCAAAAAAGGAGACAATGATTTCCCTAAAAATATTTTACCAGTTCCACCGTAACCATATGCAAAAAAGATACCTCCTCTTTCAATTATCACAATTTTTATTATTTCATCGTATATCTTCCGATGATCTTCATTCATTGTAGATAAGTATCCCATAAGATCAGATGACTTTCTTTATCATAGTCAATTCTTATATACCAAGAAATTATCTTGAAATCTATTGAGTAGACTGTCATCTGGAAATGACATCCACCAAATTCTCTTAAAGACTGTCCATTTAGATTAGGCAACTTTTCAATCTCAATCCGACATAAATTCATTAGATCTTTTTGGGAAATTATATGCTTAGAAAAAAATTAGAAAAAATGTGACTTAATTAGTTCTACATAGTACTCAATTAAAGAGTTTGATTTCAAAAAATATATTACATATGGATTAGTATGTTTAAAAAAACTTTTTTTCTATTGAAATACCTTGAAATATATTACATATGGATTAATATGTTTAAAAAACTATGTTTAAAAAAACTATTCTCAAGTCATTGGCGATTCTTATTCAATTACTTGGCAAGAATGGAAAGGATGAAAACCACAAAAAATATACAAATATTAAGGACGGAAAAGCATAACACTATTTTCTTCTTTGTGGCATTTCTAGTTTTTTCTTATCAATAGCAAAGCTCTTCGTAACATCGTTATCATGGTTTCAAACTTTGCCGTTTTGCTTATAGTCTACAAAGTATGCTGCCGAGGCATCATTACTTTTGCTTCAAGTAAGGTGATGCATTGAAGAGGCATTGTGCTAATTAATCATGAAGAGGAAACCAAACAAAATACATGAGAATGAGAAATAAATTATTGTGTATTGTTCCGTAAAGTGAATTTCTTAAGGCACGATAGGTTAACGTTCTAAAAATAAGATCCAAAGAATGTACTTCTCTAGAAATAGACAATGTAATATGATATTTCATTATATCCATAACAAACTTTTTCTTCGGACTTCCTCCAAGAACAAAAAATAAAAAGAAAAACAGCATAAATAATTAAACAATCATCAATACAAAAAATGAAGGGCTAACATGTAATAATCTCTTTGTTTTTTCTCTTCAAAATGTTATCATATTGAAAATGCTATAATCACTAAAAAAAATTACTCCGTAAAATTTTACAACAAAAGCTATTACAATTTTAAAAGAGTGCATGCTTATTGCTTAGTGATATATTTTTATTGTTCTATGCAAAAATAAAAGTGCATATAAATTTGTGATAATAGTTTTGTTAAGTTTATACGATACATATTTAAATTAAATGTTTTAAATTTAAAAAAAAAATTCTATATCAAAATTCGAATAATTGTGTCAAAGAATCAACATAATCAAAAGTTCAACTAAAATTGTGTTATCACAACACTTTTCTTATTTGAATCTGGATTTCTGAAAATAAGATCTATTAAAATTCAAAATTGTTTAAAATCAATGAACGAACTAAAATCTATAGAATACATGAACAGATTTCTTAAAAAAATCCTAATAACATATTGAACAATAATTTCTTGAAATTGAAAGAGAAGCTAGAAACTTAAAAATGCAGAAATTCGAAGGGTTTATACCTATTGCACAATTGTGCTTCAGTTTCTTCCAATCAGAAATCCAATTTTTTAATAAATTAAATAAAATTTATACGGAGTATAAGAAAAAGTTATACCTGAGTATTCTTCTCCCCTATATCCTGCAAGCAAGTAATCAAATCATCGCCCACAATTTGATTGGAGAATTCTCCAAAATAAGCTTGTGATTGGGCTACCCTCAGAGTCGCACAAAATAAGGAAGGATCAGATGACAATCCCAAACTGTTCCGTTGCCGATTGTTTTCTTCCGTAGTCGATTTTTTTTTCTTCGTAATAAATTTTGGAGAGTTTCCTTCTATGAACAACATATTTAATTAACGAAATTTAGGTGAAGAGTTTCCTTAGGTGAAGTGTTTCCTTCCGCGGTGAAGATTTTAATTTTAATTATCATTGTGTGAAGAAGAGACACATGGAGAGCCCTAAGCAGTGCCAAATGGCGGCTTCTCAAAAGAGACACATGGCAGCTTCTCAAAGTGTGGAGTCTCCTTTATATATATACTAGTATTCTGACCCGTGCCATGCACGGGGTCGAAAGAAATTTATGTCGATTCTGAATCATTTCAATGAAATTTATTTTTCAAAATAAAGAAAATATATTGCTCACATGATTTTTAATACTACAAATGAAAAAAGCCAATATAAAATAAATAATATTTGAGGAACAGAATGTAGAGTTAACAATATTTATTTTAATACTAAATTTTCTAAAAGACTTCAGGGTATACAACATTTTTGGTATGGTTGCAAGGGTTTCCATTGTCATCTAGAACTAATATTTTTAATCTTGGTTTTGTCTTCACTCGTGAAACAACAACATATAGTTGACCCTGTGTGAACACTAACTTGGTTAAAACTAATCTCACAAATGACAATGTTTGACCTTGACTTTTGTCGATAGTCATAGAAAAACATAAGGCGATCGGGAATTGTCTTCGTTGGAACTTCAAGGATAGCCCTTAATCAGATGGTACCAAATTAATTCTAGGGATGTAAACTTTTTCCCCGACTCGATTTCCCGAAACCACAATTGCACCGATAACATTATTTCGCAGCTCTTGAACGATTAATCTTGTCCCATCACACAATCAAGATCTTTGGTCAATGTTCCTCAATAGCATAATAGGTAACCCTTTTTCAAGACAATTTTGTAGTTTGGGATTCCCGAACATTTGATTTTGTTCAAAAACTCAACTGTTATCCAATCGCCATCAACACCTACATTTGCTTCTTCTTGGCACGAAGAATCAGAACCCAAGTACTCCTTTTCATCACCAAGAATGAGGGACAGAACAAATTCATTTATCATTTCAACTACTCCGAGAGTTGGTGCCAATAGGGCCCTATCCTCAAAAAAAGAATAATTTTTCATATTCTCTAATATATTCGGATAAGTGAAGTCCACTATACTCTTCATAGGAGAACTTGTATCGAGAATTAAGAATTCAGGCAGAATCTCAACCTCACCAATTCCATCCATCACCTGACCTAGCTTTCCATCACCCATTTTGATTATCCAATCAAAAAAAAGTTTGTGTGTCCCTATTTGTGCAAGAAGACGTGGATGAATGCAGTCTCGTATTCCTGGTAAACGTATAAACTTTAAAGTACGACCACAAATTTAAGGAATTAACCGTAGAACCTACAATTTCATCTCTCGAAGCTCTAGGTAAAACTGGAAGGATATGTCAAATGTCACCTCCGAATATAACTGTTTTCCCTCGAAATGGTTCATTTATGTAGTTAGCATTAGAGAACCTCATGATATCTCTCATTGTGTGATCCAAAGCCTCAAAAGAAAATTTATTCATCATGCATGATTCATCCCATATTATCAAACTTGCTTGTTGGATCAATTCAACTTTCGGGTTCCCTTGTTTGATGGCACATGTTGAGCACTCAGTTAGCGCCAATGGGATTGAGAATCTAGAGTGTGCAGTCCTTCCACCATGCAATAACAATGTTGCAATCCCACTGGATGCAACATTCAGAACAACCTTTCCTTTTGATCTAAGAGAAGCGAATAATGATTTCTAGAAGAAGGTCTTTCCGGTTCCCCCATAACCATACACTAAAAAGAAACCTCCTTTTCAGCTTCCACGACTTCCATTATATCGTCGTATATCTTATTCTGGTCTTCGTTTATAGTAGATAAATATTGTCTAAGATCAGATGACAATTTTTCTCTATCATAGTTCAACTCCTCTACCAAGAAGTTATTTTGAAATCTATTAAGTGGGTTCGTTGTCATCTGGAAATGGCATACCACCAAACTCTTTTAAGGATCGTCAGTTTGAATTAAGTAACTTTTCAATCTCAATCAAGCACAAATTCTTTAAATCTTCTGGGGAGAAGAAGTTCTGAAAAAAAAATTAATATTAGAATAAATTATTTCGACAAAGATGTCAATTCTAGAGTTTTGTATAAATACCATTCATTTCATATTAATGTTTATATAAATAATAAAGAATAATTTTTTATAAAAATACCTTGATTGCGCAATATTCTTCTTCAATCAAATAAAATTCCATCAACTAAGAGCTCCCATATTTTTTCCCAAACAACATGAGGACGGATCATGGTATTTGTCACTAACAATGTGACAAATAAATTTCTTAATTGACTTCCAGATCCTAGCTCAGCAGCCTATTTTATTCCCTCAATGAGTTTTTTATCATCGGCTAATAACCCCAATGCTTCGCATGCTTCTTGGAAAGAGCTATGTATAACATTGTTAACCGTCCTCAAGCTCTGATAGCTTTTATATCCTCGTTGAACCGTTAAAAATATTCTCAAATAGTATAACTCTCCAGTTCCTGTTGGCACATATTGCAAGCGGCCTATTGAGGGTCTTTGTTGCCTCGGGAACCATTTCCGCTCCTTGTTGTTATACACAAAATATCCAGGGAATTCAGCATACATCAAATTATCTCCTGTAGTGTATTGCGTATTGGCAATGATCCAAGCTTCAAAAATTGAAGGTTTGTCATAATTTTGTTGGATAACCTTTTTAAGTTTTTCTTTGTCTCGAAAGGTGACAAATTTCTGCCCTATGAGATGGAAATTCAATCTCAAAACAGTTGGCCACCTATGGTGAATATCAAAAGCTAGAATTCTCCAAGAGGCTTCACATGCAGACAAAGAACGGCAGTCGTTGTACTTCTCAGTTTCACCATACACCGCACCATCTATAACGTCACTCTTAGATTGCGTAACTCCAACGGTTACTCTGTCTAGACCTTTATTGACATATTTAAAAAGATATTTGATTGAATTAGATTTGTTGCAATATTCAATATTGATGTGAGCGTGATACCTCATCAAGAGTTTTGTGTTATATGGAACAACAAATCGATTATCCAACTCAATGTTTTTTATCATGGTAGTGACCCTTGTATTTTTTCTTCTATATATCGAGTAACCATTATCATCAAATGTTGTCTTCTCAACAAAATTTTTGGGAAAAAATTTCTTGCATCTACCCTCATCCATACATGGAGATCTAGGATAATCTACGCCACATGGACCATGCATCATCAATCGAGTCACCGAGTCATACAATCTAGGGCATTTGTCTTTATTTGGCAACTCTGCACATATGACACGATCAATTGACTCGGGCGTTTGGAGTTTATCCTTCGCTTGTAACTATATCAAGACATGTGCATGAGGCAAACCTCTTTTTTGAAACTCAATAGTGTACAAACCTGAAAAAAAACATTTAAAGAAACTAAAGTTACATTAATATTTAACGTCCAACACACAACTACTTTTTTATTTAAATGGAACTAAAATACTAAAGATTAAAAAATTACCTCTAATTACTTCACCAAATATATGTCTATTTTTTAAGTCCTCCAATTCATCAAGTTTTATTTTAAAGACTCTAGATTTGATGTCTGGTCTGTCTTCAGCTTTAGATTTGGTTCTTCTCATAAACCTTGCAATCTCTGTACATTGCGGATTGCATGTTATAGTAATGAATAAGTCTGGATAACAATATCTTCTACAAATCATCATTGCATCTTGACAGTTTTTAAACATATATATCATTCTGCCAGTGAAAGAAGATGGCAGGATAATTCGTTAGCCAGAGGCTACGGATTTAGTATCACCTCTCATAACAGATTCCTCTAAGCCGCTCATGATATCTCCTCTAAATTGATCCTGGTTTAAACACATTTACATCAGAACTAATATTATCTTCATAAAAAAGTATTACACGTGTTACAAAAGATAGATCGATTCTTCTTTGTCTCTTTTGCACATGCAACTGTGATGAGATAGGTGTACACTTATTCCCTGATTGAAGCATTGTACAGATAAAATTTTAAATTTGTTAAAATTACATTCTGTGACATTTTACTTCATAAGTAACCCCTCCACAAATTAAAAAATGGATTAATTAAATTTTTTATTCGAAATTTATAAATATCATTTGTCAGATCACAAAGTACATTCCTTCTTCTTTGTGTTTGACAGTGCGACATTGCACTTGATGATGATGCCTCTCCATCTGTACGTGTAATACCCATTATAAACAAATTATAAATACGAACCACAAATATTTTTCCACAATTTACATAAAACATCACCACATAAGAAATATTATAAAGTATTCCGAACCAAATCTAAATTCATGTTAAATTTAGATTATTTTTAAGGTGTTGACTATCGATATGATCAATCTATTTTTTTCCACTATTCACATCAAACATCACCACATAACAATACAAAGATTTTCCTATTTTAAGGTAAATATTGGGTGTTTATTTGATGAATATATTTAAATTTAATCTCATCATCGTGAATTAATTTTTTTAGTGAGGATATATTTTCACTCTTATTATACACGAATTTCCACAATAAACCTTTGCAACTTATTAATTTAAGTATGCAATTTTTAAATATGGAAGTAAGATAAAGGATTAATATATGTAGCATGGTCCTAAAATTCTATTTAAATTAAATGAAAAATATTATATTTATTTTTTAAATCGTATTTATATTTTTTCATATTTATTTTTTATTATTTGATATTATTATAATAACAGGAGTTCATATTGTTATAATCTGAAGGAAAGAATTTCGTTTAAGGCCAGTG